TGTACATAAAGCAATATGGAATCATTTTTAACACATTGCTAGGTGCACTTATGTTTTCTTCCAGATGCTATTTATGTATATTTGATTAAAGTATTACAACTTTAAAATTTTGAAATATATGTATACTTAATTGTGTGAATCTCAGATTGTAAATCTCAATTAAATTTTTTAAATTTGCATCTAGATAGTAAATTATTACATTTTATTTAAACAAATTTTAAAGTTTTTAATTGAGATTTTTATAATTTGAGATTCAATTAAGAGTATACATATTTCGAAATTAAAAAGTTGTAATACTTTAATCAAATATATGTTGATGAGAAATCAGTTTTAAATACTTAAAAAACATTATCATTACTACATTACTGCTACAAAATTAAAATAATTTTATTTTCCTGTATAATTCCGCAATCCCACACTAGTTAAATCAGCGACAATGTCAGAAGTTGAGATGCGGTTGTGATCGTGTGCAACTATATGAACCCATTAACCCTACAGGATCGAGCAGGTGCTTGGAAAATGATCGACAATGAAAAGTTTCAGCGAGACGTTAAATTATGCAAGGGAATGCGGGGAAGTAATGACCACGTGGATTAACCTCGACCTTAGATAGAGCTTTGGATAGTGGTTTTTGAAAGGGGCGAGGTTAAACGATAAGATCCAATTATCGAGAAACAGTTTATCTCGCGAACGAACGAAAGGTAAGCCGATGAGAAACTCAGAGTTCACTTTTCTCCATGAAATAGATCAGGACTTCTAAAACGTCCGATATATGCCGCAGGAGAAGAAAAGTCGATTGTTAACTCTGTTGATATACGACCGATTTAAAGAATTGCGAAACTATCAATACGGAAATAATTATAAGATTGCTACATCGATAAAGATAAATTGTCTGTATCTTGTAACAATTCCGAAAGAATTCAATATGGAGGGTACATTTATAAACATATATAATAGATATTAGGCAATTATTATATATTAGGCAATTAATTTAATATTAGGCAATTATTATATATTATTGTTAAGCTACAGTCTGTCTAGTAAGATCGTGGCAGGCCTATCTGAAAGAAAAATGGTTTATTAGCCCTGAATTTATATTGATTGTATTCAGTAGTATTATGGCCAAAATGCATTTACATTAACAAAGAGTCCAGTCGCTACCTGCGTCTATAATAGACTGGCATACTTTCCACTAAAGAAATCGCATATTCACGTGGCAAAGACCTCCAGATTCGTCGAATTTCACTTTGAAGCTGATGTCGGTCTTCCACAAAGCTTCCTCCTAATGAGAGACCACACATTTTCAATGGGATTCGCATCGGGTAATTGTGAAGACCAGTGCAGTGTCTCGATGTCATTTTCTTCTTTCCAGGACGTGCAGCTTCGATGTTTGGTATCATTATCCTCCTGGAGTAATCAATCTTTATCTTTACTGATAAACCAGCGTTGAGTAGACGGAATCAAAGCTTTTTGGTATATTTTTAACATTTTCTCAGCATTCAGGTTGTCAGGAAAAAGATAAAGTCTTCAAATCGCACGACTGTTTTTTCGTCTTTGTCGGTATAGGCCACGTTCCGGTATAAATTGTCAACGGTTTTTGTCTCTAAATAACGAATGGCTTTGATTTTCCCATATATCTGACCGCAGCGGATTGTGACATTTTTGGCCCTTTTGGATGAGAACGCTAGAACACACTGCTTCGAAACGAGACGCGTACTGAGAAAAAAATATAGTCAATTTTAATAAATATTTAGTTCAATACTGCCAACTAAATATTTACTTACAGTAAATAAATATTTGTTTATTAAAAAAAATAATTGTTAAATCAAATTAACATTTCTTGTATCAAATAAATATATCTTTATATTTAATAAATATTTAGTTGGCATGTATTCAACTAAATATTTATTAAAATTGACTATATTTTTTTTTTCAGTGTAGGCAACACTCATTTTGAAAACTGTTTATTCTAACACAATTCCAATAGCAACGGGTACTTTGCTTATAATACATGCAGCATAAAGGTGATACTTATCGGCGGAAACAAAAATCCCGAGTATATCTTTAATCGACTGTGAGTAAGCCTTGCCACGCTCTTACTAGACAGACTGTATTTTCTGGTAACTGTGTATTACAAAACAGAAATGTATTCTATCATATAATACTACTATAAAAATATAATTTATAGAATTTCAGAGAGTTATGAAAGATTCGGTGATTAATTTTCTCATTGATTTAAGAATTATCTTTCATTATTGTACTATATAGTTATTTTTCGTGACACAACGTTATATATTATTTCGTTGTTCTTACCGTTTCTCCTTCCTAAGCTTTCGTGATATAAGGATCGATATATCTATGTATTGCCGTACATTTCGAGGATATATCGAAGTTCATCTTCGTGGATGCGGGCGTCCCATGGGACACAGGAATGCAGCTTCCATGCAGCACGGAAGTAAGCATTCCTAAGATGCTGTTCGTAATCAGGATAAGAACGCGGTTTGAGCACGGGAAACTCGAAAGCCGATGCCTTACGTGACGAGGCTGATAATGTACGAAGAGAACAAACGAGACCAGAAATCTCGTACGCGACGGTAGTAAAAATGGTAGCAATATAGTGAACTGAGCAATATATTGGGGACAGTTTCTATCTTGTACGTCAAGAAGTCACGAGGCTCGTTGCATGCACTCACTCGTCGCATATGTGCGATATTTGTCTTCAGGATATTTCTCTTGACATGCGGACATGATGTAAAACAAGGCTTTTCCCAAAGAGAATTGCGCTTTTCTTGTTTTCTACATTTCCTCTAAGTTTTATATTTTTTATTTTTCATAAATTCGTATGCCTCTATTTCCAATTCATGACTTTGTCTTTATTACAATATATCTTTCTTTATATAATTTCAGGAATTTGGTCATATTACATCTTCTCACTTCAGGAAATTAATTTTTTAACATGCGAGTATTATTACGTTTTTCGTTATCATTATTAATTTAAATTTATCTGAGAATGACTCGATTGGAGTCGAAACGTTTGTTAAATTTTGTTTGTACTTTATGTTATCAGTATTGATTCGTTGTTTATGTAAAAGTTATTAGCACAAAACATCCAGCTTGGTTCGTAGCCCTTTTATATTATTTATTTATTACATATATAATATAATAATTCTATAATCTTAAATTGCTCCTATAATCTTACAATACTAATTAAAGGCTGAAAAAAGTAAAAAAAATATAAATAAAAGCTCGCAAGAGTTATAACTAATAAATAATAAATAACAGTTCTACGAGACTTTCATTTATAATTACGTTACATTACACTTCTATAAATTAACGTTAATTAAAATTAATTTATAAAAGCGTAATATAACTTAATATTCTATAAATCACGGATTCTTCAAACTAAAAATCTTTAGTGTATACATTAATTGCAATAACAATAATTATACATATTTTTCTTTAATTTCTGTTTATAAAACTTTTTAGATTTTGAGAAAATTTTTGGATAAGTTTTTACTTTCATTATATTTGATATAAAATAAATTTTGTTGACTGAGACGATTTTATAATTTCAGATACTCTATATTTTAACACGAGAAGAGTAATTATGACTATATACATGTATTAATAAACATCTTTTTGTTTAAATTTCCAAAAATGTATTTAATTTTTTGAATTTGCGCTGATTGGTCATTTTTTAAACTAATTCTGACGTGTATTAATCAATTTCCCATTCAATTTTCAGTAACGAATTGGTTACAACAATCTACGTTTTCATAAGAGTTGACGACTTTAATTGGCATACGAGAGCTGATAAAAGCCAACAGAATATTCGAGAATTCAGCTTGGATTGTAGTATTAATTATATACATTGAACTCTCGTGACACACATGTGAAAAAATTCTCGAAAAATATTTCAAATATTGTGAATACGTTTTCATAATCAGATTTCAGCAGAAATTGATTTTATAAATTTAAAATAACAATGATATTTACAAGTTACACAATAAAATGTTACATATATAAACTAAGCACTTTATTAAATACCTTGGTAAACAAACGATTTCATTGTGTTATATAATATTTGAAAACGGCGAGTAATATTGTTTGTAATATTCTTTTAAAAATTTCTCTCCCTCCCTCCCTCCCTCCTCTCTCCTCTCTCTCCCCCCTCCCTCTCTCTCTCTCTCTCTCTCTCTCTCTTCTTTAATGTAATATAAATTTATGAGCACAAAAATTTCTCGTAATTTATTGACGTTGCTCGATCATCTTTCTTTAACACCATATTATCCGTCAAAAAAGCTTATTTTCAAGAAAGATTTATTATACTAAATTTGTGATAGTCATGAAAATATGCACAAATAATTTACTTTGTCAACAACGTCCAATTGATTAAATAACGCACTTTGTATACCATTATTATGCAACTTGCGGACATTCTGAGCAATGAAGGTCTTTTGTCTTCACAAACCTTGTTAAAAATACACATGCGCTCTTCTGCAGCAATTTTTAATTGCGATATGAAACTGCATAATGAGTTACGAGGCCGCTTCTAGGGCGTTAATTCGTTTTGCGTCAGACGAATTTCAAACAAAATTCAAGCTTGTGTCCACTTTTAAAATAGAAAAGTCTTACATATTTATAATATTAACTTGCAATATTAAAAGTTTGTTTTTTTAAATATTAAATATTTATACAATTATATATTATATACGAAGTGTCCTAAACTCATCTTTATTCATCTTTTATTCATTACTTTATTTGCAGTTGTTTTGGTGGATTATAGAGACTTTAAATCTCTTTATTAATATAAAAATGTATTATAATATTCTGTAAATATTAAAATCTATTTAATGAGAACATTATCTGAACATATTGCTCAGATTTATCTTAACACGAATATTTTTTATTTAAACATATTTGAATAAATTCAAAATACGTTTTGCATGAAAACAGCTATTTAATATGATACTAATATTGAATTGAACTTATTGTTACAGGACGAGAAGAACCAGTTGCTCATCACGAATCTCTGGCTGAAACTGGTAAGTCTTCGAAGATCTTCCGAAGTTTACGAGGAAAATAAAACTAGCCGCGATGTCTTTTCAATTGATAGCTGCCACTTACACGAACAGCACGAAATTCGTGGGAGATGCTTCAGTTATTTTTTAGAAGATCTCTGTTCAAGTTAGTTGGACGAGTAGTCCTGATAGATTTGTAGTTGTTCGAGGTGATCCAATTTATCGTACTACACATCACCCGGTTTTACCCGGCTGTTCCAAAAATATTCTCGTGGAATGGTTACATCACGTAAATCGGGTACCAGTGTAAAAAGGCGTGAAACAAAAATATCATTATAAACTACGTGTGAAATACTCTTGTTACGTAGGAGATTGCACCATACACTCTGTGTTTATCAACGTTTTTATTTTGTCGTAAAATCGTTATGACATATAATTATAATGTTTTTGTTACATGAACAATTCCGCATGCAGCTTGATATCTATCAAAGCATTATACAATTTAACTCTTCACTGACAATATTGTTTTTTAAGGAACAGATGATTTTTTTAATTATGAATATTAACAAAATTCGATATCGAAAAAAACCTCTTAAAAAGACCTGGATAATGTTGAGATTGTGTATGTGCAAAGATATCAGTATCCAGTTGCTTATTCCATTGCGAGATTGAAAATTTCATATTTCTGACGGAGAGTTAATCATTTATAATTTATTTAATCGATAGTGTAAGGTAACCGGATCCAATATGGGCGTATACTCAAAACGCTCTATTCACTATTTATAGGTAATTATACATGATTAATTCAACAAACAGCAGTAGTAGCTTATGCAGGTTATTCGTTTGACTTGATTGCTCAATTTGTTCATTCTGTTATCGTCAATAAAACAAAATGTAGAATGTAGTAGTGGTAATGTAATATTTTGTAGATAAGTAATTGTTTCCTATATAACTACCTAAAAATGGTTATTAATTTCAGTAGTTCATGTTATTATAGCTCTATATTTAAACTTTACAATATTATATATGTAGTTTATATTTTTGTTACGACGTTTTGATATTATAATCAAACGAAATTCTTTCTAAAACAGAACCAATATAGCCAAGCTGTAAGCATATTGCATATACACATCAATTGTAACGTTCTTTTTTTGTACTTTTGTTACTCTAGATGAATTCTAATTCACCTGTTAAACATTGAAAATAAGTAAATAAATAGATAAGTAAAAATAAATATGTCCATTGTCTGGAAAATAGTTTTTGTATATTCTTACATATCAATAAACACATGTCAATATGTCAACGAATTTATAATCTTATAAAAGTATTAATATTGTGTGGATCACTTTGTTTTCCGTTTTTCTAACATTTTTTATGAAAAAGGAAAAATATATATTTAGATTATATCAAGTACATCATAAAAAGTTCATATTAGTACCTCATAAAATAATGTTTAATTTTTATATATTAAAAATTAACAGTCTCTAAAGGCTCAACGAACTAATAATTTCAAATATAGAATATCTGTATAAGGGCAATGAGCCTACCATGTTGTCGGTGCAAAACAGATTATATTGTTCAAACTTTACATTAAATACAAGAGTTGTTTTGATGTATCATTACTATACAAATATCTGATATAACTAAAAAATGAAGTGTTAACAAAACCCACCTTTTTGCCCGCGTAATTTAAAAATTAAAAATTAACAAAGTTTCTAAAGGTTCAATGAACTAATAATTTCAAATAAAATATCTATATAAGGGCAATGAGAGAGAGAGAGTATGTTGTTATTGGTGCAAAACAATTAAATTACGCGGGCGAAAAGATGCGTTTTGTTAACATTTCATTTTTTAATTATCAGATATTTAATTGTCAGATACTTGTATGGTAATGATATATCAAAACAACTCTTGTATGTAAAGTTTAAACAGTATAATCTGTTTTGTACCGACAACGTACTAGGCATTGTCTTTATATAGATATTATATTTAATATATTAAATTGTTTTGGGTGAAGTTCTCGTCTTCGTTTTTTAAACACTTAAAGATGTTTTAGTTTTAAACTTTTTAAATAAACAAATACGATAAGTATTTGGATTTAAAAAACACTAAAATCTTCAAAATTAAAATATCTTTTATTATTAAACGTTTGTTTTGTAAAGATGTTTTATGCGTAAATATTTTAAATATTGCTGTTTTTCTCAAATTTTTACCTATATATAAATATTTGAATATATGTCTTATATTTTTTATTAACATTCCTTCTTTTGAGAAATGTTTCCTCTTTTGAATGTGACCACTAATTTCCAATTTTGGACTCGGCAAAAAAATTAGAAAAAATCGCAAAGCTTAGCAGAGGCATACAGGGTCCGGTTATCTTATTTCAAGACGTGTATTAGGAAAGCGTCGAGGTAACCAGGTAACGTAACGAGGTCGGATCGGATTTTTATCGGCACCCAAAACTATTAATAGAGTCGCCGCAACAGGTTACTGCCAGAGCACGGGGAGCGAGGGTGCGTCCTTATTAGGATTGCGACAATGTTTTCTTTAAGGGAGAGAGAGCGCTCGGCTTCCGATCCGCTCGCTTCCGACGCGCGGAAGCGCTCGCCGTTGTTTATTTTTTCCGGCTTATAGGACGGCTTACGCAAGTTCAATCCCGTGCGAGCTCATGCGAGCTTTGCAATGACCTAAATTCAAAACATTGACGATTCTACCGACGATCGTTTTCGGTTTGATTGACGGATTGCACCGCATCGGACACGTGGAGCCCCTTCGGCGCATCTGACAATTCCAACAACGACGCTGATGGCGAAGGTCGTGATCGTTACGCTATTGATTGGCCCTAATCTCGCTCAGCACGACCTTAATCTTTTGTCACTGCGAATTAATATTCCGGATTTTCTCGACAAGACTTCCGTTTTTATCTCAATACAATACCATCAACGTTAAATTAATCCTTTAAGGACGGCATTATTTTGTCAGAAAAAGAACAGCTTCTTTACCCATTTTACTCCAAAATGTCTTGAACAATCTGTGGATATTTTATCGATATAGCCTTTCTGATGGGTAGAAGAGAGAGAGAGACTAAAGTAACCAGACCCTACAGGTCTATTTAAGTTTTGTGATATTTTTCTAATTTTTTGATAAATCAAAATTGAAAAAAACTGATTAGATTCAAAAGAGGAAACATTTCTGAGCATTAAAAAAATATAAGACATTTTCAAATATTTACATAAATGCACTAAAGATTTGAAAAAAGTAGCATTCAGGTCATATTGAGTACACATATAAATATATAAAAATGTCTCATTTTTTTTAATGTTTGCAGAATTGTTTGCTGTTTTACACATATACCCGATATGGCCTAAATATGTGTCCTCTTTTTTGTATAAAAAAATGTAAGAGAAATGGAAAATAAAGTAATTAATGTTGCTTTATTAATAAACTTATAAAATTATAAGTTTATTAATATATTGAAATTAATATATTGAATTATATTGAATTATTAATATATTGAAATATTTATTGACGTATGTATAATACTATTACAGAAACAATGTATATAGGCTCTTGAAACATAAATTCAATATACAAAAAAATGGATTGAGAAGAGAATGTACCAGCCCATGTTGTAAACCATATCGTTTTTTTGAAATATATCCACTGAAGATGACCACAATAAGGATTGAAACATTTAGAATTAAAATTTGATGATTGTTTCATCAATACCAGTCACAAAAATTGCATCAAATAACTAGCGCAGTTTTAATAGTTCATTTTTTTATATATTAAAAATACTATTTTCTTTAAATTCTCTTTTCAATAAACAGATGCAACTGAGTCAGCCTGCATGACTTACAATTCTATCTGTTAAATTTGTCGTGTAATTTAATTACTGTAATTTAATTTAATTACACAAACAACGAGTAGATTGTATTGGATATACTAAGTCATATAAGATCCGATTACTTTGCTGCTATTTTTTAATATTCCATGCTACATACATCTTCATTTTCAGTTCTTAAAAAAACTAATCTACAGTTCCGGAATTCATCCCAAATTTATTCCAGAATTAAATTTTAAAGTGAACATTGCAACATTCACGTCTGGTGGGTGAACTCTTTAATCACCTTAATGCATCACGTTTCCATAATTTTTATTACAGATTAAATATATTTTAACATCGAAAAAAAGCTAAAGTATCTAAAAATTTAGTTAGTTATAGATCTGAAAATAATTTTATTGGCTTGTCAAAATAATTATATAGGATGCTCAAGCTGGTTGCTACAATGTAAAGACTTTTTACAATATATCCTAATGCCCATCATGCTTGAGTTTTCTACGTAATTATTTTGATGACCTAACAAAGTTGTTTCCAGATCTGTATTCAGCTAAATCTTTAGATACTTCAGCAAAATCGTTCCTTTCGTGTGATTGTTATAGTTATGTTTTTCTTATATTTTCTTGCAATGTTATTCCACGGCATTTGATAAATAAATATATAAACATTTGCAATTTCGAGGCTTACTACTATGCCAATATAGAAACGTCAGCTTTCTTCTATTTAATCTTTCCTTCGAGTCTCATGACGGCCAATGCATACGGAAGTAACACGCAGCTGCATGTGACTTAAAATGCCGATACGTTTGCAAATATAAATCATGTAGATATTCAAAGAACATTCGACATCCGTGAGTATTGATATGATGTTGTATATTTCCTGGTAGCGTTGCTATCAGATACACTTGTGTCGAATGCAAGTAGAGAGCTAAAATTAAATCTATCTTCTAGGAAGAACGGAATACATTTTACTTTTCCATGTTCAAAATGCATAGATTGCATCTGCAATATTGAGAGGTAGTTGAACGGTTTTATCTAGATCGGATATAATAGAGAAGTCTACGAAAAAAAAACGTTTATACTTTTTAGAAAAACTATAATTTTTTTCTTCAGCAGCTTCTGAATAACAGGAACGTGATATTTAATTGGCTTAATTTGTAAATGATTTATACGATGTTATACTC